TATTTTAGTCATTTTATTTCTAGTATTAACTGTTGGCACTGAAATGTGGGCAGAGTAACTGACATTTCTATGGCTGTAGCAACAGTAACCTTAAGGAAGATTACTCAAATGGAGTGTAGATTAGGAGGCTTATTCTCCTTCCAGCTATATATCAATTAAATAAAAAACAACAAAAAAATCCTGTTACTTCTGAATGGTCAGGAAACTTTCATTGGATTTCTATGTTATGTGTCCAAACCATCAAATTGCCTGTTCTCTAGTGCTGGGGTTGTCTTCCTGCTTTCTCAGCCGTATTGCCATAATATCTGATACTCTGGTTCTGACCAGTGCTTCCCAGCCAGGATCACAAAGGATGTAAGAGAAATTATTGTGATTTACAGAACAGGTCAGTTGTAGCTGTCTCTGGGCCAAATGCAGCACTGATAGGCAATCTTGTGTATGTGAGGGTCATCTGGCACTTAAGGTATCAATCCTTACAAACCAAATCAATGTTTGTAACTTTTTCCTGCGTGAGTGACAAATTAACACGTTATGCTGCATTGCTCCCTGCTTCTTTCTCCGAAACAATTTATACCTGGTTTTCATCATTGTTTAGTCTAACCCACTGTGAAGCAGCACAGAACCATTTTGGTGTCTCTAACAATGTCCTTCCCTAAAGGAAAATCCAGTGGAGCCGATTGCACATGTTTAAGTTGAAGTGAAGGAAGTACCTAAACAGTTGATACTTTGATCCAAACGGAAGTCTGAAATATACACATAGTTTAGAATTAGTACAGTTTTTTACCATTTTTATAATTTTTGTTTCACAATCATAATCTATCAGATGGGCATAGATTGTATCTTATTAAAAAATATTTTTCCTACTTTATTAAAAAAGGAAAAAAAAATCAGCTTTCTATACTAAGATAACCTGTGAATATAGTTGGCAGGAAAATTTTAGTTTCTTTTTCATAGTTCCCTGTGTGTTTATTTTAAACTTTAAAATGATATTTACCTCTTGTGCCATCCGCTTTCTTTTCTTTGCATTTCAGAGCAGCTATAGATTTTACAAATTGATTAACAGCGTGGCAGAAGGCTGTTGCTTTTGCATTTCTTGAGTCTCATTGCTCAGCAGCAGGATTGGTAAGAGAAATATCAGGACTGCCCAGCACATGTATGCTAAGCCACTCAGAAAACTAAAGAAATCAGAAATCCTTAGTGCATTTCTGTGAGCCACAGAAACAAAAAACAGTTGTCCAGGACTGATGTTTTATATGTCAAAACATGAAGCATGTCTCTGCTTCTGCTGAAGTCCACAATTTAAATCAGTTGGAAGTCGTAGTGCAATAGCTCTGCTCTCCTGGTGCTCTGCTTTTGCACACCGCTGTCCCCACACTGTGTTTCATTCCCGGCCTTTGTGCTGGCTGTGACACCCAGCTTGTCCTGCTTTGACAGAAGACAAGGATCCTCTGTCCCAGTCTTCTTTCTCCCAGGCAAACTTTCAGCACCAGTACCATGGATGGAGTTACTCTAGCACTGCCCTTGGCCAGTACGCAGTTCCCTGGGGCTGCATTGCCAGCACCAGCCCTTCCTCTAAGGATGTCAAAACCCACCACAGCTCTGGAGTTACTAGAATGATGGACCCCAAAATGGAGAAGATATGAAGCAGTGATGAGGAGGTTTTATATACTTACTTTGAGCCAATAACCACTAAGGCCAATAAAATTTGTGAGGTAGTGGATGATGCAAAGCTGATAGGAGCTCATGTCCATCAGCATAAGAAGGGTATGATAAATGAAAAGGAAGTTCATTTTCTGTTAGGAAAAGAACATATTTCTTCCTATATATAATATGTGGTATGTGTGACTGCTAAGGCCAAGAATTGAACATGATAGAAAAAGACATTGCTGTTGATAACAGGAACATTCACAAGTGTTTCCATGATTAATGGAAAAAAAATTGAAAGTGACATAAAATTTTATGCTTCAAACCTTAGGCCAATATTTATTTATTAGAGACCTAAGACCACACATGAACAGTAAACTATGGATTACAGTCTTACTTTTCTCCTTTAACAAGTCCCTAATCTATTATGTAGTCATAACTTAAGTCAGCAACACATACCAAGTTTATCTAAGACAATTTTGATCAAATTATTCATCTCAGTTATCCCATTTACTTCACTAGAACTGCTTGAGTGATTAAAGCAAATAAAATTGGGTGGCAAGGTTTGCTTCGCGAATTCAAACCTCCATCCTCTTACCTGATTTTGTTACAGTCTCCAATTAGTCCCAGATTTCTGAGACTCTGAAACTTGTTCCAGATATGAACTCATTAACTGGTAGAGATAAAATTTTTATTCCCTGCTCAATATTTGATCTCTGGGACTGTAGCTTACAAATTAATTGCATTTCTTCCTACCATATTTCACTGTAAATACGTAGCCAGTTTCTCACAAACTTTCCGTCTTTCTGATTTCTTCTCCTTAGTGAACCTTTGTGGGGTTTTCAATTCCTGTTTAGTGCTCATGATCAAATGCTTGCCAGAATACTGCAGTAACTGTAATACTTGCTGCTTTAAGACATGTCACTCCACAGAATCAATCAGAAATATCCAGAATAAAGTATTCAGTCCTTGGGGATGGGGAGGGAGGCAAGTGACAGTTTTGGTTTTGCCACAAGGAGAATTTTTCCTTTTTAGAAATGTAAATGAAGATTAAGTTAGCTATGAAGGGTTGCAACAGAAGTTTAACATTTATATTCATTAGGCAGAGAAGTGATCTGCTGCCCAAGTAGTAGGGATAGACTTGCTTGTGATGTTTCATTATCACATTTACCATATGTTTCATTATTCACTGCTATTTCTTCTGCATGAAGACAGAGAGTAAAAAAAAAAGCAAATTAGTATAACAGTGATAACCTGTCTTATGTTATAGGTAAAAATAGCTTCCTGTTCTGAATTTCACTCACCCTATTTTACCCTATGGTCTCTATTTCTGATGTTTCCTAGCACTTTGATCACTTGCATCTATATCTGCAGGGGGAAGGAGCAGTATTATGGCAACTTTCTTCTTACTGAAATAATTCGCTAAGAACTACTGCTTGAGCTCATACGACACTGTCTTAAAATCCAAGCTTTAGAGCCTCTCCCTTCTTTCTAAACGCTCTCTATTCCCTAAAGCATCTAAAAAACATTGGGTTTTTCCTCTTCTTTACTGCTGGTTACAAAACTGACAAGAGATAAGATTGGTGATAGGACAACAAAACACCACTTCAAAAAAAGCACAGTTTCACACTGAAGAGCATGTTTTCACGTTTCACTCCCTTAGAGTAATTTAGCTCAGAGCAAGACTTCCTTTCAATTCTACCAGAATTGGGCAGCATCAATAGTAATTTAAAACACGCTTCAACTGAAGGTTTTCACTTCCTAGCTCTGCCTCACTCTCTTTTATTTATGATCACCCTTTCATTTATGATTATCAAGAATGAATATTTAAGAGATCTTTTGTCTAGGCTCACTTTTCCCACAGCCTAGCCTGGCAACACAGGCCCAGCAGTCCCAGATTATTAGCAAATTCCTAAACTTGTTTTTTCTTTCCAGAGAGCTGCAACATAGCCTTATATCAAAAACACAGTTCCAAGGTTACCTGAGTCACTATTGCCATGTCCAGTGCATTTAACAACACCAGAAAAAGGCAAACCTTTTCCTTAAGTCATTCATTATCCCGGTCTATGCATGTATACATTATGCTATTTCACTATCATTGATATGGGAAAGCATAATAATTTTCTTTATCTTCCTGCAATTACACGGGAAATTAATTGGACTTGATTTTCCTGTACAGGAATACATACAGCTATACCATGACACATTTTTGTATCAGTTTCTAATTTTATGAATTGTGATTATATGTGCTAGGGGAAAAACACTTGCATAACAGAAATGCTCACATTAATACCAACAAATCATAGTGGGCTTAGACAATTAGAAAATTCAGCTGTGTAATATTAATGACTAAATATCTATCTCTATGATATCTCTAAAATTTTGTCAGAAAGCACTAATGGCACAATTCTGCATCTGTAGAGCTTTCTTGGATGTTTTATTGAGCCTTTTGCTGCAATACAGAATCTATGTTAAACCAGCCTCAGACCTGTTCTGGTCATCAGACTAAAAATCATAGTTCTGCTCATGTGTCTTCATTTCTCCCACTGTTCCAAACCTATTTTCATATCTATATTTCCATATTCTCGCCATTTAAGTTTATTCCCCTTCAGTGTATGTTCTAAGGATTTAAGGCTTAATGTAGGATAGTAGATAAAAAGTCACTGCTTTTGGTATTCCTTGTAGTTTTTGCTTGTTGTTGTCCAGGTATCTAGCAGCTTTGCATATAATGTAACATTTTTTGCATGCCTGGAATTCCTTTTTTAACTGTATTGTGGATAATTTTGTAACATATGCTTCTTGTATAAGTAGCCAATCTTGCCTAATTCCAGCCAGTACACCTGGAGGTGTTTTGTTTTTACAGATTAAAGTATTGCATACCATAAAGTAGAAGTTTCTGAATAGTTTCGTAACAGTATATTGATGCTACTTTCTTAATACACTGTATCAGTACACAGCCCATAGTTCAGGTGATAACAAAAGGGGAAAAAACAAATCTTCCTTTATTTCTCTTATCAGCTTTACCCCATGCTGAAACAACCTCAGAAGCCCTAGTGTGCACCTGCCCAGTGCAAGTCTTAACACACACAAATCTTTACTGACTCTCTCAGCTTTACTGTAACCTGAGACTCTCATTTGCACCCCTTGCTTCATAGCTGAAATAAAGTAATAAAATGTTTCCGTGAATACCCATCTGACTCCAAAGGACATTTTCAATTAGTAGTGCAGTTCACAGAGCGCTATGTTACACTGTCTTCATTTTAAGTAGCATAATCTTAAGGTAATTTCTGTTATGAAGTTTGTCAGATTAATCCATTTTTTTTTTTTTTTTTCCCTTTTTTTAATTCTTTCTACAGCTGTAACTTACACAAGTTACAAAAAAACACCGCCACCGGTACCCCCTCGTACCACTTCCAAGCCACTGATATCAGTCACAGCACAGAGCAGCACAGAATCCACCCAAGATGCATATCATGACAGCCGGACTCAGAGGATTTCCCCATGGCAGCAGGACGGGCGAGGGATGTACAACTCCACTGACAGTTTGGACAGTAACAAGGCCATGAATCTTGCCTTGGAAACTGCAGCTGCGCAGCGCCATGCATCCGAGAGCCAGAGCACCTCAATACGAACCAGTGACAAGGCCATTTTGGTGTCAAAAGCAGAGGAGTTTCTTAAGAGTCGACGTTCCTCTATAGGGATCCAGGTAACCTATCATAACATCTGTCTGTGATGAATTGCTTGCCTTCTTTCTGTAAATAGCATAGAATGAGTCGTTCAGCTTCGCTGGCTCTAATAATCTAACAACCAACCCCTGGCTGCTTAGCATGAATTGTAATTCACATCATGGCAGCATGGCTGTGCAGAAAAGTCTTCGGCTGATATTCTGTACCTGGAAGAAAATGAATGAATAAATCTCTAGGAGGTTACCTGTCATTAACACTTGATATGAAAATTATACTGCAGAGCTACAGGTGAACAGCATGTTCATCTCCTTCCCTCCATGAATTCACAGTCCTTTTTATAGAATTACACCAGCTTTAAAATGCTTGACTGTATTTTTCCCATTATCTTTCTCTTCTGACCTTGGAAAATGTGTAATGCTGCTGGATCTTAAAGCTACTCTACCTAAAAAGAGTCCCGTCCCTCCCTTATTTTTAGTTGTGCTGGGAAGAAGGTACCAAGGAAGAGAAAGAAATGTGCTAGTGCCGATAGAGCATAATTACAGACAGCAAATAATGAAATGACATTGATGAAAGCAGTCTTTGAGCATTCGTCCATTTGTCCATCAAAACACACAATATTTACTTTACCTGACATAACATGTGTCAGACTGCAGAAAGCTCAGTCACGTTGTATTGTTTCAGCCAAATGAAATAAGGCAATTCCAAATGCAAATTTTGATTGATTGCTACTCCTTCTACTAAATGGAAAGCACTAGATAGGTAGCAATGGTCATTTGTATAAATCTCTAGGAAATACCAGGTAGTACTAAAAATCAGGAAGTAGAATTTCGAGGAATGTGAAGTCCTTTGAGACACAGGAGCAGAGATAAATTTAGGCTTCTCTTCTGCTGAATATTTAATGTAGGTGAATAACCCCTTTTACAGCACTGGGTTCAGTTCTGTGCTTAAAAACCTCTGCTATTGCCAGACCAACTATAGAGAAAATGCCATGCATTTTGGCGTTGTTACAGGTAGTGTGGAGACAGTAACATAGATCTTGGAAGACAGCAACTTAGACCTTGAGAAGGTAATGTAACAAAGCCCAGTGAGAGAGTGCTCATCTACTAGGAAGCATACTATTTTTCTTTAACAGTAGTAATTCCCTTTCCATTAATTTCACAAGAGCATCAGAGAAAAGTCTTTGGGTTAAGCACATCACAGCTACTGATTGAACTTCATTGTTTAACATCTTAGTGTGATACAATTATGTGGTTCCACAATGTATTAGACTGATAGGAAGGCACAGGCTTTGCCAGCAAGCTGCTAGTCCATTTTGTGACATAAAAAGCATTTGCTTCATCTTCTCTAGATGCAGAAGAATAGAATGCAGTTTAACAGCAATGGTAAAATATTCAGATGTCTACTTTTCAAATGTTTTATAAAGCAATTAGTGTATCCTAAATTGTTCAGAGAGGGGCTTAGTAGATAACAGTGAAAAGCTCAAAGAAGTAACAAATAATTTTTGGCACCTTTTAGCCCCTAACCTGAAACTCTCTTCAGAAAAGGAATAGTGTCTAGCGTTGTTCTTATCTCTTCTATTCAGCAGCTGTGCACAGTAGCATTTAACAGTGTTGGTGTCTTTCTTCAGTCCTGGTATTTCAGCAATTGATTCTGAAATTTTGATTGCATCACTTGATCCTGTTTCTTACTGCAGGTAATGACCAGTAACTTTAAACTGGGCTCTGACCCTTCTTGGTATGTGGTTAGTTTAATAATGCATGCTTATATTGCACAAAAACATCTGTGCAATGATTTCCATGGAGGCAGCGGATATTCTGTAGCAACTTTGCACCTAACACTTGGCCCCTAATACTGGTCCTCAGGTGCACACGTTGAAGAAGGCAAATACATTTTGCAACAGCAGGCCTTAGAAGGATGAGTGAGTTGTTTGTTATCTTTTGAGAAGTATAAACTGCTTGGTTGTAACATTTGCCATTAGATAAGGTTAAAATTGCAAAATCACCCTCAACACAGTATCCTGAGGCCACATTTTAGTTTTTCGGGCTTTTTTCAGCAGTAAGTTTCAAATTTCACATTAACATGAAAAATGCCTTTCACTCCCTTGTGCTTTGCTAAGCAGAAAATGCATTTTGTTGTTTCTGTTGCCAGGTTTGTAAGGAATAAAAATACAAGGTAGAATATTCTTATTACAAACTACAGAAATAGTAATTTATTCCCCCAAACACAGTTGAAGAGTTTAATTTCTTTTAGACTTCTGCATCAAAGCACCTTAGAAAGGGATGTTTTTTATTTGCATATTTCCTTGATTGACTAAATTACTTGTTTTCTCATTAGCATGCCATGCCAGGGTAATGCATTGAATTTGCATTTATTTGCATTAATTAATTTCCTATCAGGATGGTTAATTTGAGCATTTTTTAATGTTTCATTCCTTTAACACATTGGTGTTAGAATGCTTGCCAATGGAGCTTCTTACAGGAACAGAGAGGCATGAAGATAAAGAATGACCAGCGATGCCTGTCCTTGTGCAACTGCTATGCACACAGCCTAGGGCTCCCATGTCTTTGGTATATATACTTTCTGTAGTGTACATGTAAGGAATAGAAGTCCTTTTAAAAAGTCCTGTCATACTAGACATGTGCTATAGGGGTGGAACTCACACACATGGGGAGCCCAAGCAACTAGGACTTACTATGAAGATCATAGCATCCCATCTGCATGGACAGAGAACAGCACATATATGGTAATCCAACCCACAGTATATTAGCCCTATTTCAGGTGGGAATTTTGAACAAAAAAGGTTTATAAACAAAGCTTTTCGAGAAAATAGCTGCTGGGCTTTTGGCTGGGTTTTTTCACTGCCATATTTAAATCAAAAGGAATACTGTCAGACAAGTCAGTAGGCACTGGAAAAAATGTTGCCTAAACTCAAATGCATTGTGAAATACTGATTCTGGGATTAAAAAATTAATCAGCATTCTTAAAAATACATATATAAAAAAAAAGAATGAAACTCTAGTAATTCTAGTGGCTATAGTCTTCATATGTCTTCTATCATGACAACAGAAGACTAATCAAAATATTTGAATTAAACTGGAGGGTAGAGATTGTCTAGAGTAAAATAACCACTAAGTCAAAAACAAGGTTATTGCTAATATATTTTCAGGGATTTTCCTTGCTCTTTTGTAAAGTCTTATATATATGCTAATATTTAACATTCAAACTGCTGTAGTTATAAACCATTTGTTATTAAAAGAATTTGGATTGTGAAATATATGAGAAAACCTGTCAAGAAGATGCTTCTTATTTATTTCAAGTGTTTCAAAACATGCAGTCCTTTGTTTCTTCTCCATTTAAAAGATATCAAGGTTTCTCAAATGAACAGAAATCCTGGAAGCAGATGAGATGCAAACAAAGGTTTTAAATGTGAAGGCTGATTCATGATGGTATTTTTAGAGATAAGCACATTTTAGAGATAATTGTAGCATAGAGAATGGACTCTATCATCTTCATTTATTGTCAGGAGATCATGTTTCAAAATATCTAAGTTTTTTTTTAATCTAGGAATCTTCATTAAAAAAATCGTTCTTATAAATCAAAGCTGTATTCATGAGGATTAGTGTAATAACTCACCTTCTTAATATTTTGTGTCAAAAGAGGATCTTCTGCATAGTATTTTTATATATATTTAATGAGATTATAAACATTGTAAGATAAAAACTTGTCAAAGAAACTCTGCAGTCTCATGCTGGAATTTCTCTTTAAGGCAAAGCATTTTTACCCACATGGCATTACTTACTTTGATGAGCATCTACATTTTCTTTATATTGTTTAGGTTATATCATCCTTGTCATTGCTCTACTTAAGTGTACACATAGCAATCAAAAGAAATATTAACATTGATTACACTGGTCTTTGGATCATAAGTGATCGAAAGTTTTAGAGGCAAGCATTGTTCATTCTCCTCATAAATACACTGTCAGACTGTGAGAACATTGAGTGAAATCCTTGGCCTGCAGAAGTGAGTGAAAGTTTTGATAATTTTTCTGTGGCACAGAGGCTATAACCTAGCGTTTATAGTTAACATTGACCTATACAGTGTATATATATATGAGTCAGGATTCACAGGCTTAGCTGGTTAGCAGAGTTCCCAACCAGCGGTTGCATTTTGGTCTCCTTACTTGTCAAAAAGCTTAGCAGTTGGAATTACAGTTTGATTCGGAGAAAACTCCAGGAACAAACTTGCCAGCAGAGTTTCAAGTTGACAAGCAGGTATTCTTTATTGCGGCGCCGGGAGACAAGGGGGGTAGCTCCTCCTAACGTGCGTCCCCGGACTGCTGTACAGGTCATCCTTAGATGGTCACTGAGCATATTACGTCATTTTCCAAAACGTTTCCGGCATGCATACAAAAATGTGGTGGTCTTTAAGGGTCGTTTACTTTTCCCAACAAGCTTAATTAACATTACAGACATAGCGATCATCCTGGCCTTCTACTTACCAGTTAGTTTAACTGCTCTCATCCTGGACATCTGCTAGTCCCAGATACTCCCCATCCCAGGTCCTGTCCTTCTATTCTGCTTTTCTCACACCTTTTGTACTGAGGCCCTGAAAGCCTGAAACTATGTCAACTACCTTCAAGTACCGCAGTTATTTTCCATTACAAAGCCATCAAACTTAACATTACTTAGAACTGTACAAGTACATTTTGTACTTCTGTGCCTCCTTGTCTCAAGTTAAAGCAATGGCTATTTTAAAGACATCTTAATTTTTACTCTTTTCACAAATTACTGTTGCTTGTTTTCTTAACTGCCATCTAGCTTAATGAAACATTCAAGGTGGGGAAGACACAAACTGGTGCCTTGCAGAATATTTGTTTGTTCAGAATAATTTGCCACTTAGCATTAAATGCACCAAAAAAGTTAGGAGCAGCAACTGCTGCGTGCGTTATTTCATTGTTACTATCCCATATTAGCATGACTCAAATCTTGCTCCTAACTCTGGCATGCATTTTTAGTGCTT